TTTTCTTTTTCTTTTTCTTTTTCTTTTTTTTTTTTTTAATAATCTTAAATTTGTCGATAAATAAAAAATAAAAAAAATGTCAAAAGGGTTGACAATTAATTACCTTGTTCTCCTCTCATCCCACAAAATTTCGATATCGTATCAAAAAATAAATTTTGGCATTATAATTTTATCCGTGAGTAGAAAGTTATGAGTTTAGCAAAATTTGAAGAACTTTGTCACACACCCACATCAATTGGATTGGAAATGTCTTATTAAGATTATAAGATTTAGATGGTTCTTTACTGAACAGTTTAAGTTTTGAATGACGAGACCGTGACAAGTGGTATCAAAGTAGAATCCATCCGACAGCGCGAATTCAACGAGGGTGTCACATTTTTTGGATAGCGGGGAATGTCATATCTCTCAACGATTTGAGTTTAAGATTATTAATTGAGTAAATATTACTCATGCTCCATGACATTTTGTTTTATTACACGAACATCCCCTCACATTTCAAAAATCACACTGATGATTTTACGTTTGAATACAGTGATTCAGCTGGTTGGAGTAACCAAATCAAGTTCAAAACTCCACCTGCCGGAGGATCAGATGAAGTCAAATTTCTTGCATTTGGTGACATGGGAAAGGCTCCCCGTGATGCTTCTGCCGAACACTATATTCAGGTAACATTTCCTTATATATAACTACACAATGGGCTAATTATTTTGTTATCTCGAAAAAATTTAAAAATTCTATTTTTCATTGTATCTTCAATGTATTATAAACATTGTCATGGGCTCTTTTGTTGCTCATTCCGTCAATGTTAATGGAGTTTGATGGAAAAAGCAACGGAGGTTAACGGAAGAGCTACATTGATGCTGTAGATTTTTCCGAAGTGGGTGTGAAATTTACCTTAATTTTAATTAAGTTTTGATTTTGTTACAAACATATTATAGCCAGGATCGTTATCTGTGATCAAAGCCATGGCGGATGAAGTAGCTTCTGGGAGTATAGACTCAATATTTCACATAGGGGACATAAGCTATGCCACTGGATTCCTAGTAGAATGGGACTTTTTCCTACAGCTTATCAGCCCTGTGGCTTCTAAACTTTCTTACATGACAGCCATTGGAAATCATGAGAGGTATGCTTCTTCTTTCAATAATACATAAAAATACCGTGTATTTTTCCGTATATGATAGCAAGTAAAATGTCTACATCAACTGTCAGATGCTGAAAAATTGGTTCAGATCAATGGGTGACTAATAACAACAAAGAGACACTAATCCTCCGATATTTAAGTCAATAAAACATATAAACTATGTGTGGCGTACCTTGATAATAGGGGCTTGTCTGGGGCCATCATTTATGTCTAGTACGGTCATATATTTCATTCATTCCTTATGAATGTGTCAACAAAAAGTAAAATTATCATCCCTCCCCTTTCTCTCGGATCCAGATCCCGTCCAATTTTTTTGCCAATTTCTTTTTTGTGAATCATCTAACATTAATAAATGAGAGACCCACTTGTATACATGGTCCGAGTTAAATAATGAGCCATCAAAAAAGAAGTTTTAAAAAAAAATTGTATTATAAGGGATCTTCATCCCTCTCCCCTTACTTTCTCCACTAACGACCAACCTTTATATGTTAAAACCTCCAATATAATGGCCCATTTTTCCCCTTACAATTCTCCTAGTTCATCACATCTAAAAGGCAAAAAATAGTAATTAACCCTATCAAATTACTCAATTTATCTTCTTGCAATGGTTTATTTGTCATTTTGATGCAGTAAATTAAAGCACACTCATATATTTTTTCTTCAATTTTTTCCTTAACGGATCATCGACTATTAATGTGTAAATGATCCGCTTGTATACACAATGTACCCCATTTGCATACATGGTAAGTGATCTGCCAAGAAAAAATTTCTATTCGATGAGACCTCACTCCAGATATTGGGGGTTTGCAAATTGTTATTGGCACCCTAGGGTGTGTTTGAGTATGTAGATACTTAATTTATACATTCTCTAACAGCTTCATTTTCCAGGGATTACATGGAGTCGGGATCAGTTTATGAGACCCCGGACTCAGGTGGGGAATGTGGAGTTCCTTATGAAACTTATTTTCCCATGCCAACACCTGCAAAAGATAAGCCATGGTATTCTATTGAACAAGGAAGTGTTCACTTCACAGTTATTTCTACAGAACACGACTGGTCTAAAAATTCAGAGCAGGTAAAATTTACCATAATTTTCCTTTTATCAATGATATTACAAGTTGACTAATTTGTGTTTCAGTACAATTGTTAATTCAGATATTCTTTATATATGATATTTTTTTGAGGTCGTGTATTATAAGAAAATTTTGTCAATTTATTTTTAAAAAATAATGGGCAGGAAAGAAAAAAATTTTATTTTATATAATGTGATCGATTTTTCAGACACCCGAATTTTATATGCATCTAGTGCTTATCTTCAAGCAAGTGTTACGGGGCTTGTACACATATATGCATATAGGTATATATATTATTTATATGATGTAAATGCTTATAGATTACTTTTTTAAAATAGTAATCAAACGTGCTTTTGTTTTTTTTTTTTAACAAAATTTATTTTAATTTTGAAAATTTTACTTCAAAAAAAACTAGAAAACATACATTTGCTTATTCAACCGATGTAGAGTTGAACTTAGATATTTTTGGACAGTATGAATGGATGAACAAGGATATGGCAGCAGTCGACCGATCAAAAACTCCTTGGCTAATATTTACAGGGTAAGTTGAACTTTGAGAAGCTCTTAAACACTACTTGTTTGTTGCAGCATGGATTTTTGGTATGAAAAGAGCAATTTTAAGACTTCAATGGTTCCATCAAGGTGCTCGGATCCAAATTCTCTCCGATACATTTCTTCTTCAATTCTTTTCTTAGCGGATCATCAACTATTAGTACTTGAAAGTTCAAAATGCGCCTTAATAGGCTTACACTGAAAAAATTTGAATATTTGCAGGCACAGGCCTATGTATAGTTCCTCTGAAGGCCTCATCCTTCCAAGTGTCGACGATAAATTTGTTGAAGCCGTAGAGCCATTGCTATTAGGCAACAAGGTAAGCAAGGTCCCATGGCTCTATAGTTTATCAGTCATCATCAGATGATAAATTTCATTTAGTAAACTGATTGAGACTATTCACTATCGGAAACAATGAACTATATAGGTTGATTTGGTTCTATTTGGCCATGTGCATAACTACGAGAGGACGTGTGCGGTTTTCCAGAAACAATGCAAGGCAATGCCCAAGAAAGATGAAAATGGGATAGACACATATGATAACACCAACTACAGTGCACCAGTTCATTCAATTATTGGAATGGCCGGCTTTACTTTGGACAAGTTCCCTGCTGGTGTAAGTAGATTTAATCCCCAACCCCTCTCCATTCGTACATTCAAGCCTAATATACACGTATCTGTGTGTGTGTGTGTGTGTGTGTACATTGTATGATTGAACTTCTTCCTTCTCATTTGTCAACAGGCTGATAGTTGGAGTTTGTCACGGATCTCTGAATTTGGATACGTTAGAGTACATGCAACACAGGAAGAATTGAAATTTGAGGTGAGTTTATAAACTTAACCCCGCCTAAAAATATAGTGATTTAAAACAAGATCAGCTGCTCTCAAAAGAAGTGCCCTTTATTATTATCGAATTTTTCCAAATTATCGTATTTATCTTTCCACAATTACAGTCAGATGGCAACACTTCAATTCAGACTCGTCTTGCTTGTGTAACACTGGATTGCAATTACCTATTCTAACTACTAAAATTGAAGATTTTAATTCATACTTTGGCTCAATAAACAAGGATTTCGGCCCTGGATCTATAAATTTGGATGCGATTATATCCGCATTGGAGAGAACTATGCGAGAGTTATATGGTTATTTGTTGGCTTTTATACAAAATGTGAATACTACTACCATAATCTATGGTTATAACAATGAAAGCTACAGAAAAGAGACATAAAAGAACTTGAAGACTAGGGCTCAGAGCCAAGTATTCTCTAAGGCATGCTTGTTCAAGACTTTATTCAATTATAGACATAACTACCTACCTAGGAATGTATAACTTATTGATCATCAGTAGCAACAGCTGCAGCATTATTCGAAATAGCCGATATTTTTGCTATTTGTCATTGGAAAGTTAGATTACAAATGCCATAGATTAGATTTCGGATCTGTAGGTTTAATCCACTAGTTACATCTTGCCAACTTTCTTCATTTTAACTTGAAATGCCAAGAATTATCATTATCTGCATTTGTGGCTTATTAAACTACTTTAATTTTTGCAGTATGTGAATGCAAATACAAGGAAAGTTGAAGATAGCTTCCGGATCACCAAAAGCCAAAGGACATAGAGAGAGAGAGAGAGAGAGAGAGATCATTATGTAGATAATCATAGAATAAATTGCAGAAAGTGATAACAAAGAGACAGTGTATACCAATGCACATTGTTATGAGGTTACATATAACTGCAAATACAAATAGAAAAGCTAATTTTCATGAAAATATAGCAGCAGCATTGACTTTCAGTAACTGATCAAGGGCCACGGCTTGCCATGGCATTACTATTCTTTAGCCATATTATGATCTTATTATTTTTTGATAGCCTTGATGGGTGTACTTTTTTTTTTTTGGAGGGGGGTTCTAATTACTTTGTTAAAAACCTTCTATTCTGCAGCTGACTTGAAAAAAAAATTTCATTATTTCTTTTGCCAACATTGATCTCACAATTCAAGTCATATGAAAAATGGGTCTGGGCATAGCAATATGGAGATACTTATGACAGAACGGGCCAATCTGGTCTTTCATAATAAAGTGATAGACGGAACTATCATAAAACGAATTATCAGTAGATTAATAGATCACTTCGGAATGGCATATACATCAAGACGAATCATTCATATCAATTTAATGGATGACAACAATTTTCTCTAACTTGTCAGGACTAAGATTACCTTTAAAGTCATAAAAGCACCAAACAACAATTTCCATCAGGGATTGGATGAGATCTCCTCAAATGCAACTTTTTAGATTTTTCTCAATGATAGATTACTCTCGGGATCTAAGTACATCCAGATTTTAATTTGGATCCGGATCTAATTGGATCTTCATAGTACCCCAACATCGACAAGTTAGAGAAATTGCCAGGTGGGGACCTGAAGCAGTGAGTTTCAAGCAGCATCACAACCACTCCAGCTAGGGCAAAATCGATTCAAAATTCACAATTGTCAACAAATTAGAAACAGATGGCTGAATTTGTTCAATATAAAACCACCAAATATACATTTTCATCTAAGCATCACCCTTTTGTACCAGTTAAAAACATAGTCATACTTCAGAAAAAAAAATATAATCATGCTGATTGTGCCAACACTAGATGTAAATTCAACCAAATATAAAGTATTTATCAAATTGATAAATAGCAAAATTGGAGGGAATTTAAGTAATAAAATTGCTTATATACAAAAATATCGCAGCATCATATGCTTGATTAACATGTTTATATACAAATGATCAACATGTATTATTACATTGTTCAATCTAATGGTTGCAATAGTGACAAATGCTGCGAATGACCTTTTGGCTTCACAGCATCAACCATGATGAGCAATTGCACTTCTTTCGATCATGAATCATTGAATATTTAAGCAAGTCAACTACCCCAAATAAGTTGGAAAATATTTCTACTAGCAACTTCATTGATTACATTGTTACTCTGCTTCTTGAGCATTTCCTCTTGAGCACGAACGTCACCATCCTTTCCAGAGCAAATTGAACCCAAATTAAAGGTGCTTAGATTATTCATAAACATAAGGAATTATAAAATTAATCAAACATCCCAATGAAAAAACACTAGTTGAATGGAGGAGGATTCAACACCAGCATGCTCACATCCAGATATAAGAACCAGCTCAGATTGTCTAAGTTACTAATGAAACACTGTTTATCTGTGCAGATCATTCTGTATAACTTTATTTACTGCATAACGCATAGCATGATTTTTTGTTTTTTAAAAAAAGAAGGAAAGAATTTCGCTTCATTCATCATAAAGAAATTCATTTACTGTAGAATACATAATGTTGTCTTTCTCTATTGAAAAAAGGAAAAAAAAAAAACAGAGAGAGAATTTTAGGGCGTGTTCGGATTGCATCTCAAAAAACAGTATTCAAAAATAATATTTGAAAAGAGTTTTAAAAAAGGTGTTTAGATATTTTATATTGCAAAACCTGTTTGGATATATGTTTTTTGAAACAGTTTTAAGGAACAAAAAATAGTAAAACTTGTTTGAACAATGATCCACAACCCCCCCCCCCAAAAAAAAACCAATTTTCGTCTTCTCTCTCTAGTCCCATCTTTGTCTTTCCCTTCTCTCTCTCTCCATTTTATCCTCTCAATCTCCACCCTACTTTTTTCACTTTGTTTAGCAAAAAAGGGAAGAATGGGTATGGGTCTGACCTAAAAGCATAACGCTTAACTGACTAAAAACTTTGAACCTAAGCTGCTCAATTCACATTCATTACCTCATAGTTGACCTACTTTAGTTCTTCAACTCACTTGTGAACCAACTATTAGACTTTATGTCTTTAGGGCCAAAATTTATTGGTGGGGCAAATATTCACCCCCATCAATTGAATAAAAGGTTGTTTAAGGGATCACACCAAACTATGAAATACATACACAAAGAAAATAACTTGTGTATCTTGCAATCAGTAAAGTCTCCTCTTAGCCTCCATAGGGTCTTGAAACTCAAGCACAAAAACATCTAGGCCTCTTATTGAGACAATGTCATCGCTTGCTAACACATTCACACCCATACCAAAAGAAAATCTCACATGCAAGGCAAAGCCTTCCCATACCCATCAAGTAGACGTGTAGAAAAGGAAAGTATTCTACTGTTTCCATAGAGACCCAAAGTTGAGCAGTCAAAAAGAAAAAAATTCTTCCAAAACCACAAAAAATCAAACCTTTCACAATGAACCAACCAACATACTTGATCACTTAAACAGTTGGACCATATACTAACACCTCCGAGTAACGCTTTTTTACTTTTGTTTCTTCTTGCAACATAGTACTAATAAATACAATGACCTTCAATGTGTTTTGTGATCACTAAAAATTTCTCTCATTTTGGAGGATCTTTCATTTCTGTTAATTTTTAGACAAACGTCAAGTGTTTGCAAATCCCTTTTATTTTTTCATTGAATCCTCTTATCAGAAACCAAATGACCAGAATGTTCAAAAAATTACTGGTTTCACATCCTTGCCACTTAAATAACTCCCCATTTGTTTCAGAATAGCCCCAATCGAGTATAAATTGGAAAAGGAGAGAACTCACAAGTGAAGAATATGCACGAGCAAGAGATAGCAGGGTCGGGTACAAATCCAGAACAGTGATGGCAACCTCCTCTGTCACCTGTTGGACCTGCATTCACAAAAAAGAAAGAAGTCTTCCGGACTGTTATTAAGAAAACAACAATATAGAAAATACTACCAGGCTGTCGTACTCAGCAAAGGTTGTCGAAGCACCCTATTCAGCTTATCTAATTTGGACCTTTTATTGTCCAGGCTCACAACAGATAGCAGTGATCAATAATAAAAAGCAAGGGCATCCCAAAGATAGATCAGCTTCTAGTGGAATATTTACACATAGTTAAACAGACACAGGCTAATTGACCCAAAAAAAACAAGAGAGAGAGAGAGAGAAGTCAGGGGCATACAAACACTGGCGGGCAATCTCAGGGGCATCCCCCAATTTCCTATTATTTTTCATAATAGTATACAGATGTATAATGATTATGATCATTCGGACTGTTTAAATCAATTGCAATGCCTGTTATAAAACCACAACTGGTACCTGCATGAGTTGGGTGGCAAAGACATCACTGACTGTCATCTTTTCTAAATCTTGGCACCTCTTAATAAATTCATCAAAAGGAGAGCAGACCCCACAGCTTTTCTCTTTGTCTTCAGGATCCAGAGATCTGTAGTACTGGGTTATTGCTCGAGTGAGAAAACCATATTTTCTTATCGTATCTCCCAGACCACTTGTTCTCTGCACATCGAATCCTTCCAAAACCTCGGTTGTGAAACAGCTGCACATAGACAAACAATATATGATACGATCTAGAATCTTAAAAATAAAACACAAAGCAATTGAGAACACCCACTGAAGCATGTAAATATTTCAGATACACAGAATAAAGCAGACTACATTTATATTATCAGCAACCAGGTTTGTCCTGCGAGAGTATTAAAAGACGGATAATAAAAGGAAAAGAAAGAAGAAAGTGAAAATGATAAAAGGGGCCTTCAAGTATTGAAGTTAGAGGCATAAATATCCTACCAAGTGATATGACAGATTCAACAAGGCGGCATAGTCAACAAGCTCCAGTTAGATGTAATAAAAGGAAAAATAACCAAATTAAAAAAACATCAATGCGCATAATGGGGAGTTCTTGAGCAACTTCCTTCAACTAATTATTCCCCCTCCAAAAGCTACTAAAGTTTCAATAGAGTTAACAGCTTGGAGCTGTTATACTATTGTGTAAATTCTAAATGATCATCAACTCCATGCTGGTTTAAGCCATTGGTTTATCATTTAGATAGAACTAGTTGCCAAAACATACATTTCAGCTGAATCAAACAAGATCCCTTATGCAGATCACAGAAAGCCTTGCATCCGGTATGCGGGATTAAGGCTTGGGAATGGAATGTGCATTCCCTGGTAATGCCTATTCCCATGGTTGGTTGGCAGGAATTAAAATCCATTCCCATTCCTAAGGAATAGGTAATCCCACAAATAATGGGATTAGGCATTACCAAATCTACTATGGTTATTTCCATTCCTTTCCCACCCACTAGTGCACCATTCCGGGGAAAAAAAAAATCGCTCCTTTCCCTTCCTGATCATCGGTCTCCCACTCCCCTAATCTCTCCTCTTCTTTCCTCACATCTTCTCCTCTTCCTCACTAACGCCATGGCACTCCACCTCTCTCCTCATCCCCTCCTAATCACATTCTTCCGGTCCCTCATCTCTTTATGAAGCAAAGGTTCATATAGGTGGCAAGGACCAACCTATATTAGCTTAGATCCAACCAATCTCAAGTAGTTTCTTGTTAAATTTAGTAGATATAATCGCAAATTTTTAGGGTTTGGAATTTTTTTGCCATTTCAAATGTGAGTCTGTCTCTTGAAAACACTTTGCTTCAATTTTTCAAATCTCTTTTTTCTTTTCTAATTCAAGATATGAACTAGACTTTTTTTTATAAGAAATCAAATGCTTATATTAATAATTTAAAAAATGAGTGTTAAATCAAAGAATAAAAAGAAAATAAAGGAAAAATAAAGTTACATAATAGGTCGTAGGAAGCACGAATACGGTATGGGTGTCGTATTCGATACAATACAGATACAGGGATATGCCGAAATTCAAAAATATAGAACACAGATACAATAAGAATACGGCTATTAAAATAATATAATATATATTTTAAATAATAATAGAGTTGTAATATATTAAATATAAAGCATATATTATAACAATATTAATAAGAAGACCTAGCAAATATTATTTTTTTGATTAAAATTGAAATATATCAAATTAAATATCTTGCATTTTCATCAAACATCATGACATCTATTAACATTCATAATATATAAGTTACATAACAAAAAATATATAAAAAAAAGTAAAAATCACACTCTTTTTAATAGTTAAAAGTTATTTTTTTAATAAAAAATTTTTTGACATGTCCTAGATGTATCCTAACCGTGTTCAGACCGTGTCAGACTAAGTTTACTATTTAGGACACTTCTATCTATGTCAGACACATGTCTGGCCGTATCCTAGCCGTGTCCAACACAGCCACAGCACCTTGTGGAAGTATCCATGCTTCCTAAAATAAGTCTATAAATCACAAATCTCTCTCCATCCCGCTAAGATTGCAAAAAGCAAAACTCCTTTGAAATACTTTGAGACCGACGCCCAAATGTGACGAAGAAATGAATACGGTCCCACAATCCTTCTAAAGACTCGTATTGATCTTTAAAAATTCTTGTATTTCTTTACTTCCAAATAACCCAAAAAATAGCAAAAATAGCACAGTTACAAAGAGTCACACCTTTATCATATCTTCCAAAGCCTTTAATCTCTTCAATAAAGAAAGATATGGATGAAGCACGAATCACCCAACTCAAATCCACCATTCGAAACAAATTATACCACATAGCCAAAGAAACTAGACAATGTAAAAAAAAGATATAAACTAGAACTTTATGCATATGAAACCACTCACACATGTTATTGGTGAATCATGACTCCTAAGCTAACCAATTTTGAAGATCTAGTGGGTGTTTTACAATGCAGATAAGGTTTTTGTCAAATGCAGATAAGGTTTTTGTCAAAATGCAGAAGGAAAATAACGGTGGGGATCCATCAGCTCAATATCTACATCTTTGTGTTGGCAATAATGTAGATTGTGTACAGTGTGACCACAATGGCTTTAGGAAGGGCCAAGGTACAAGACTGTTTGCATACTAATTGTGATGGCAATGTATGGTGACTATTGAGCTTTTCCGATCGATAGACTTCAGAAACCTTATTTCAAGCATAGTTTTAATTCTCTAGGGTGCTTAGCGTTTACTCCCCCTAACTTAGATTGTTGTTTGGATACATTGACTTCGGTTATTTCGACTTCAAGTTGGCCTTGGCCTCCAATTTTTCTCATAGCACCTTGTATTGCACCCCCATGCATGACTATAATTGAAAACTCAAGATCACCCTATAATTTATCATACCAGGCCAACTCAATTGACTTGCAAATCAACCCGTCTACGTTAAGATAATGTGAAAGGGAAGAAAGCCCCACATGATAGGGAGCTCTCTGCTTTTATCTTCACTTACTCACCAACTCCCCCCATTTTCAATTATATATATAGTTTGGCATACAAGATTTTTTAAAGGGAAATAGTATGAATAAATTAGAGTGAAGGGAAAGAGGGACAAAATGATGAAGAGGTATCTATTTTTTTTGTTTCTTGTAGTTTAATTAGATAATACAATGTCTTGTCTATTTTTTTTGATTGGGTATCTGATCATTAGATAGAATGTGTATATGCATGTAACTAATAGACAGTTGCTTTTTTTTTTCTTTCCATATGCTTGTTTTTATATGCACTTAATGGTTTAATGCACTTAATGTCTGATCATTCTTTCTATATGCTTGTTTTTCTATGTCCAAGAATTAAAAATGTGTGTCAAATCAATCAAAATGCACGAAACATTTCGGTTTCATGACAAAACGAAACGAAAAAGTAGAGGAAAAGGGGAATTCACGTGCTTCGATCGAAACGACCTTGATTCAAGACCTTTCGAGCAAATAAAGTCTGTTTCGGTTGAAACTGACATGTGATTCGACAAAAAGCCTATTTTTCTGCAAAATGGGAGATTCCTTAAGCTCAATTGCAGCTCTACAATAGAGAAAAGGGTAAAAAATCATGGAAGAAAGAGAAAGGCAGAGTGAGATTCCTTCGTCCTACTCACATAACATGCAACAGAGGACAACAAAACAAACAATAATAGAAGAAACAGAGAGAGGATGAGATGGAAAAGAGCAACAAAGTGAAGAAGAAGAAGAAGAGGAGGAGAGATACTTACCAGATTTGTGCAAACAAGCCACGCACAGCTAGAGTCAAGCAGATCTGAGTTTGAGCTCAACCACTGCCAGCTCAGGAGAGATACTAAGTGAATTTGTTAGATTTCTTTAGCTCAATATGCTAAATTTATTTAGCTCTATGTTTGTTTAAGTACTAATGTGAGTGGTTATCAACTCCCAATTGGTATTGATGTTGTAGTCTGTGACTTAAAGAGGCAACAAATGCGTTTGGAGTGCAATTGGTATGGATGTTGTAGTTCGTGACTAAAAGAAAAAGGTTTTTGAAGAATTTTTGAACATTCTTGACTTTTCCACGAGTGAGACACTAAGCCTCGAGTATGTAGGCTCATAACTTTGATCTTATTGACCTTTCTTTTTTACCATCCCCGAAGCCGAAAAGACTAAATTTATTATAGGAATATCAAGAGTGATTTCTCAATATTTTATTTAGGTGGAAAATTAATTAGTACTATGTGGAAAGATGTACTGTGAGTTTATCTTTCTTTGGTATGTGGAACAACATATATGTAGAATTATGTATGATATTAAAATTTATGCATTTCAGGTTTTTTTATTTGTTATGTCTGTTATTGAGTTTAATTATTTTTTTTTTGTGAATTTGTCCCTTGTGTGATTATTTGTGTGTGTATTGATTGTGGATTTAATCTTATTTGTAGAGTTTTAAAAGTAATAGGAGTGCTCATCGTAAGGGAGTGTGTTGAGTTATAAATTCTATGGTAAAAAAAATTATTTTGATCAAATTTCATTCCATTCCGGTAGAAATTATTTTATTCAAATTGGAATCCAAGACTTAGTCCCAAATTAGTTGTCAAACATTGAAACAATAGTGCATATTCCATTCTATTCTCAAGGTCATTCAATTTCCAAGTCCATTCCATTCCTATTCAAAGGTACTACCGTGTACCAAACGCAATGTAATGGTACTAACAAAAAAAAAACTACTTTACCCTTAATAAGTGTCAAATATATGTTCGTATCCATGACCCATTCTCTCACTCCCTCTCTTTCTCTATATCTAAACCCTCCCATCATTGAAGTCTTCTTCCCATACCTCACCCCAACAAGCACAACAACTTCCCTCTTCCACGCCACCAGGCCACTAGGCCACCTCCTCTCGCTTTCTCCCCATTCCAGTCAATCACTGTACACAGTCACGACCACCCATTGCACAATAACTATCACCACCCACCTCCTTCTCTCGTAGAACCACCTTCATGGTCCATCGATTAAATTTGCGGAGTATCTTTATGATTTATGCTTCTATAGCAGGGATTGGTTTGGTAACCCTAAGCCTTGGTAGTTATGCTCACCAGTTTGTTCTTGCTAGTCTCTATCCATGCCTCCCAATCTTGTTGGTCTCCATCCATTGAAATAGGCAGTGGTAGATTTTGGGCCATGGGTTTTCTTGCGTAGGATCAACTCTCTCTCTCTCTCTCTCTCTCTCTCTCTAATTTGTTGTAGTGATGGGTGGTGACAGTTGTTCATGGTTTGAGCGGCTTCAAGGGTGAGGATTTTGATAAGTAGTTCTCATGAGGGAAAAGGGTATTTTCAATGGCTGGTTTGATAGGGAGAGGGAACAAGAGGGATTTTGACGGGTATGTTGGTGGGGGTGGGGGTGGTAATAGCAGCAACAGCGGAAGTGATTGTGGTGCAGTGGTGGCAGCATTGTGGAGGAAAAAGGGGGGGTTTGCCTGTGGAAGGGTTTAGGGTGTTCAATCATTTTGACCAAAATTAACTATAAATGCGCTAAATAATTGATTAAAAATGAAATTGTAACGCAAGTTAACAAATCAATTGTTTAGTATGACGATATTGGTAGATTATTGGAAATTGAACAATGAAAATTTATTAGATAATATATGTGATTCTAATTAATTGAATAAGTAACCATCAAAATTATCAAGAATATAGGGTAAATTTGTTTCTTTATTATAATTTTAGGGGTAATATTGTCTTTCAAATTTTAAGTTTACTATAGATGGAAAGTTGCGATATTAAAAAAAAAAATTGATGACATCAATTTTAATTGTCAGTCTTCCTAATGCTCATCAGGCAAAGAGATCCATTTATTAAAACTTATAAGTTTTAAATATTAAGGGGTTTCAGTCTAATCATTAAAATGTGAGGTGGTGTCCATCTAGTAAACCAAATGCCAGGGGGGCATATGAAATATACCCAAAAAATTGAGAGAAGCAAAAATTGTAATTCAAGTGTATGGCAGAATATCTAATGAGCTGGATAGATTTATATATTTGTGATATTTCTTACCTACTGTAATTAAAGTAATTTTGCTAGATTTTGGCTAAAGTAGGTTTATTTTTTAAATGACAAGGGTGCCTTGGATACAGTACTTTGTCTTCATGTAGCCTTATTGGTAGGTTGAAAGCTAACAACTACTTCTATGCCTATATAAGCCATCTATATAGCCATTTGTGTTACTACTCCAGAGTTGCTTGTGAGTTGCTTGTATTATAAGCCTTGTAAGCTAGTTTGCTCTTAAATACTTGTGAGCAATAACTTCTATTTATGTAAAAGAAATGAGTGGGAGGAAATACCATAGCCTTTGGTGCTTTTGAGTGCAGATATAAAGAGTGACCAATTTTGTCGTAGTGAGTTAAAACCCCTAAAGCCTATCCTTCTTTCAGCCATGTTCTCTGACTTGTTTATTTAAATCCAACAGTAGTTCTCCTACATCTGTATCGGTATCAACGGTCTAGTTTTCTTTACAATGGTGTGATTAACACAATTACCAATACTTCCTATGTTTTCCCTATTCCAAAAAAAGACAAGCCTTTGAAAATGAAGATTTTAGGCGATTAGCTTGGTGACTAGTGTCTATAAGATCCTTATTAGGGTGGTATCCATGAGATTAAGCGATTAGTGACAGTATTCAAAATACTAAGGAGCCTTGTTAAAAGTTGGAGGATTATAGATCTAGGGGGAAGTAAGGGATAGTTTTTAAAATTTATTTCGAAAAAGCATATAAACATGTGAAATGGAATATCTTGGATTATGTTTTGGAGCCTGGGGGTGAATATCTTTGAAAGTAAGTGGAGAAGATAGATTAATGGTTGTTTGCCCTCAATGAATTTATGTGTTATGCTTTATAAGAATCCTAGAGTGAAATTTAAGGCTTCTAGAGGGTTGAGAGTGATCCATTATAGCCTTTTTCTCTTTACTTCAGTAGCGGATAGATTGAGTAGGTTAGTCTTCTGGGCTAAAAGACGCAATCTTGTGAAGGGAGTTGTTTGTTGGGACTACGAGAATATCTATTTCTCACTTTCAATTTGCTAATGATACTATACTCTTTACTGGAGGGGACGATTGAAACTATATATATTTTTAAGAAAATTGTGGAGTTGTTTGGCTTGGTTTCAGGTCTAAAGGTTAATATGGAGAAAAGCTTAATTGTAGTATAAATTCTCCACGAGATAAGATCACTCAGTTGGTTGGTATTTTGCAGTGTCCAATAGGCAAATAAGTTTTCAATATAGAAACTTCCTTTGGATGAGAATCCTTTGAATCTTTGGGATCCCGTTCTTGAAAAGGTAAGGAAAGATTGGATGGGTGGAATAAATCTTTCATTTCCAAAAGGAGTAGGTTAACTTTAGGTCAATCTGTTTTGGCTTGTATTCCTATCTACATCTCTTTTTAAGATGCCAAGGAAGATAGCAATGAAGATAGAAAAAATAATGAAGGGTTTCTTCTAGAAAGAGGGGTGAGCGAGGAACGAAGGATCATTTGCTTAATTGCTAAGGTATTTCTAGATCAAAAAATAAAGGTGGTCTTTTGGTAAGAAATTAGAGGCCAATTGTAACATCCCGGATTTTTATAAAATTTGGGTTGTAATTGGTGATAAAAGTTTGAGGAATTTTTAGAATGAATTGATTAGTTAACTTGATTCAGACACAAAAAAACTATCCTCTAATCATGTCAAATTATGATCAGGAGGATAAATCGTTAACCTAAGTCGAACAAAATAAACCTAGACTCTAATAATGTCAAATTATGATTTTTTTGTGATTGAGAAAATAAATAATTTTTTTTTAGATTTCGAATAAATAAATGTATTACTTGTTTGAAAATGAGTCCAATGATTGTAATATTGAACATGTTTAGAGTCAAATGAGAAACGTCAAAAATATCAAAGTGTCTAAATGTGCCATCTTAAGAATGATGTATCAAGATAAGAATGATGATTTGTCATGATAAGAATGACGGTCAGTCATAAGGACGATAATGTGTCAAGATAAGGACGATGATGTGTCAAGATAAGGATGATGATATGGAAAGATAAGGATGATGATATGGAAAGATAAGGATGAATCTAGAGGTGACACATGGAAAGCATGACCAAGTTTTTTTTTTTTTTTTGTGTGTGTGTGATAGGTGTAAAGGAAGGCTATAAATAGGGAAGTTGGGCTAAGATAAAGGGTGCTAATTTCATGAAAAAGAGAGAGAGAAGAAAAAATGAAGGAAATTCGTGAGGTTAGTATAATAATCAAAGAGGATCTATGAAGTTTGGTGGAGAATCAAATGGTTATTGTGTCGTTGGATTTGTTAGTGGTACCTTGAGTTGTAATCTATCGAGGGTAAGTGGAATAACTCCCAATTTTGAGTTTGTTTGGATATTTTTTGAAAATGACAATTTTACCCCCAGTCAGATCTGGTTTAAACATCCTATAAACGGGACCAGGCCAAGTAACTCAGTAGATCATCTGTTAATCCTTTATCGAATCCCAATTTTCTTAGTATCCATCGTCGTCATTTGATGATTATATTTTAATCACCTCTAGAAAACTCATCAGTTGATTTTTTACGTTTGTTCGGGCGTCCAGGTTAAGACTGTGGTAGGTTTTTTCAACTCCGTTGCTTTTCTATAAATTCTTACTCGGTACTTCGAATACTTTATGCATATTTTTCAAAATGTTTATGAAATTGTGATTGGGTGGATCGTATCTTTGTGAAATTCAAATTCGGCTACTATTTTGACAAACGAAATATGGGTTTAACGATTGAGTTGTTCGATGATTGTGGAGGTCCGGGATTCAATTTATGAAATGTAAGTGCACACAGCATCGAGTCGTAGCAGGTTTATGTCCAGGTTGAGACCATAGTAGGTTTTATTGAGTTCATAAATGCCTACGTGACCCAGTGATTTTCAGATTTTGGTACTGAATTGGATTAAGGGAACGTATTTTCCTTGGGGTGAAAATCCCCTAAAAGGTTGGATCGCATGGTTCGTATTCACCTTGAGTGGTCTTAAGGATGATAATCTCCGGTGGTGGCACTGTATGCAACTGTTCTGGCACTGTATAGTTGATTGTTTCTTTATTTTCGTAATTCACTGATAACATTCAACGATTTTGAATTACTAGCTAAGTGTTCGTTATTCTATTTTAAATTCTCAATCACTGTGAAATATTGCAATTTCAAACTGGTATGCTTTGGAATTGAGTTTATCTACTTAGCTAATTGATGCTCACCCTGCGATATTTCTCTCTTTTTCAATGAAATGGTGCAATATATGGGAATTGCCAGTTACGAGGGGGTCGCGCTAAACAATCTCTCTTTATTTAGAATTGTTAGACATTATTCTGTACCTATTGTAGCAATGCAATATTTATGAAAACCTCTAAGTGAGGTTGACTTGTAGAAGTTTTGCTTCCATTTTGTTATAGAATATAAACCCTAAGTCATAACTTTTGCTCAAAGCAATAGAGACATCGGCTGGGAAGTGACACGTTTGTACTCGAAATGTTAATAATGTGCTTGTGAGACGCGGGGCATGATAAGCGACATGCCCAAGACAACTGGGGTGTTACACCAAGATATAATGTTTTAGTAGGGAAATGGTTTTGGAAATTTCCGAGAAACAAAACTCTCTTATGATATTTTGTTATTAAGAGCAAATATAGATTACATGTCAACGGATATGATTGATAGGGTTAAAGGGGAAAGTTATTGATGCCGATGGAAATTCATATCTCAGAGATCAACTAGGCTTTTTGAACATGTTAAATCTGTTGTGGGTACTAGGGAACATTCCTTCTCTTAGGATTTTGGTTTTGTAGAAGTTTAGATAATAAAGATAATTTGGCTTTGGCTTCACTACTCTATATGCTTAATGACTCCAACTTGCATCAAGGGTCATGTGATAAAAAGAAGTTGGGTTCTTGATTCTTCTAGTGTCTTCTCTTGTAAATCCTTCTTTGATTATCTAATTGATACTTCTTATGTCAACTATTTCCTATCCATTAAGATGCAAGTTTATGTATAGACTATTGCTCAAAGAAAATTTAATAAAATGATTTGCTTCAGAGAAATAGACCTTTAACTTGTCCTTGTCCTCAGTGGTATGTTATGTGTAGAAGTGATAGTAAAGGTGTTGATCACTTATTCTTTCTTGCATTGCCTTCTTACATCGTCTTTGTGGAACAATCTGTTTAACATGACAGGCATGAGCTAAGTAACTCTTGGGCCCTTTTCATCCACATTTATAGAGGTTTTCAAGGGTTTTGGAGGCATAATAAGGTGGTGACTCGTTCGAATTGAGCATTCTTTGCCATTATTTGGACCATTTTGGGGGAAAGGATGCTCGAACATTTGATGACCAACGTGAGGTGGTGGAAGGCCTAAGGAATTTGATTTACTTTTTAACATTTTTTTGGGCCTTCGGTTTCCTAGGATTTTGTGGGAATTCCACTTTTTGCATTAGTGAGATGGAGAGCTTCATGTGATTCATAGATTACTTCAATTTCTTTTCTGTTTTGTTACTTTTACTTTAGGTTGGATTGTTTGTCCACCATATCCTTGTATTGATATAACAGTTTCATAGTCAATAGAACCAGTGTTTACTATCCAAAAAAAATCATGCGAGGCCATGCATGCCTAGATTGACAGAATGGCACAGATATGGAATTACTTATCCCATTTGCATGAAAATTTTGATAAAATTAAATCACGCAAGCAATATGTCCGTGCTAGTGCTTAGACTCCTAGCCAGCACCACACTTCAAGTCAAAAGTTAGAGTTCCCCAACTTAAAACTTACAAAAGAATAAACCAAATAAAGATTAGTTTGAGGAGTATAACAATCAGAAAATTAAAACCTAAGTGAATCCACCTGTTGAGCAAAAACTCCTTTATCAAATCACATAAAACAATCTAATCAGGCAAAGGTAAAAACAAAAGAAGACATTACGAGTGATCATAATGATGAAATGTTCCTAGTTTTTAGGGGTATTTTCGTAGATTTGATTATCTTAAGACCACATAAGTAGTAAATCAAGTACCAGCAACTTCTGACGAAAATTTTCACCTAGATGTCAGCTACTTGTATCCAACTTCAATCTTTAATCTAGGTTTCTACTTGTTGGCATCAGTGGACAGCTTGTCTAAAATATCACAACACTAAGAATCCATATAAGATATTCAGTTTGGTATGCTTCTTTCATTAATATCAAAGTAATGGCATGTTATAGGAGGATCTTATTGGTAACTTAACAAAATGGCTCAAACACTTTGACGCCAAAATGAATTTTTTTTCTTGCACAAGGATTCTCATTTTATTTGTTTAGGAAAAATACTCATTTTATTTACTTCAACGGCCCAATTCAAAAAAAAGACATGTTTATCCCCAGCGTATCCTCTGTGTCTCCAAACATATCGCATGCATATCCAAAATGCACTCACAGGCAAAAAAAATTTAAAAATATTCAAGACGTGTATATGAGTATCCATATCCGGCACATGTAGGCTACAGACACTCCAACCCTAATGGAGTACCCTTACTTCACAACCTAACTTATTCATACCAAACCAAAGAGCGAAAAATTTAGTGTATGAATCAAAAAATTATTGTAACACTTGCTTACGCAGTTTTGATGCTCTCAGCAGCTTCAGAAGAATTTGGATCACCTTCGACCAGATATATCATCTTCTTGAGTCCACATCTCTTCAAAAGATCAATTAACATCGACAAAAAAATGGGATATTATTAATAACACAAGCTGAAGTAAGTTGCAATATTGCATTTGAAGACAGAAAGCCAATTTCCCTACACACTTTCAAATTTTGGATCAAAGGCTTCCAACAAACTAAGGATCAAAAGTCCCCAACTCTGTTTTTTCCGTGGTTTTTGCTTTGTTGTGGTTAGATTTTCTGTTCCTTATAATAATTTCTTCTTCTTCTTTAAGAAAACTAAATATAAAAGCTCTCTTCACATGAAATTCAAAAATCAACCATCGATTGTTAGATATAAATTGTGGGGTAAATTACATCCACCTCTCTTGAGGTTTTTCCATATAACAACCAGAACCCCCCTGGGGGAGGGTAGACATATAACACTGCCCTCCCCTCTGCTTTAGTTGTCCCTTTTAGATTCCCCCATACCGTTTTCACTCCGTTAGTGTGAGTGAATAGTTTGTTTATGTAAGCAAACAATTCTTTCAAAATTCCCAAAATGGCCTTGATGGGCCTGGTTGGAAATGGACAACGGTTAGTTTGTCCAGCAACTATTTTTTTTCTAACGGCTAGTTTGCACAAACAATTGCTATGTAAAGACAACTGGTGTGTGAAATTGTGTTACCAGTAGCGAAGAGCATAGGGAGAGGAAAAAAAATGGCTTCTTCACACAACAGCCACAGTGATGTCCAGTTAAGATTCAGAAACAGAAGATGTGGGTATGGAAGGAAAGCAAATGTGAAGATATCAGAGTCATCTCAAAATCCTGGAAGACTATATTTTACATGCTCAAGATGTGGATTTTTTAAGTGGTGGATGCCGACTACACTGCCAAATTTTGAAGATGATAATCACGTTCAAGAAGTGAATTTTAACCAAGTCAACATGATCGAAGCTCTACAAAGACGCATTGAAGTTGTTGAAAGAAATCAGTGGATAATTAAGCATCAATGAAAGCCTGATCATTAATCACTCTCTAACTGAATACATATGCTGTAACAGAACATCAATTATCAGTAAAAAAACCCTATAATCCTAAGAGATAACCACAAAATTAAAACCTAAATTTTTTTATGAATTTCTACCAAAATGGACAAGATCTGCATGAGATAACCACATGCAGTGGATTCACGAAAATCAATTCGACCAAAACACATGCTTTCAGTGGGATTTTCCAACTATTAATCTTCGACTTCACCAAATGCGTACTGGGTAACAAGTATTTTGCAATCGACACAAAGATTACGGTGAGTTTTACTGATTTAAGGAATAAATGGGTTTCTACAGCATGGAATATGCAGAGCCATGTACGCAGAGCAAAAGTGGAAGGGTACTAGTCATGTCTTCTAGAATAGTGTGTTTGGCACCAATGTATATATATCACCATCAAGGGTATTTTCGTCTTTGTACATTTACCATCCACTTAAACAGACGGCCATCGGTCAGAGGGGAGGGAAATGTTACATATCTAACCTGAGGGGGTCTGGTTGTTAAATGGACAATCCTCGAGGGAGGTGGATGTAATTTACCCTAAATTGTAAATTCATGTTTATCAGTTTAGAAAAACTTTGAGATGGTAAATCAAATATCTATAGTTAATAGAAAATTTTGGATATGCCTGAAGGTATCAAACTATAGAAATGAAAGTAATATTGACACTTTTATGAAAACTACATATCTTTAAACACAATTACATGCTCTAAATGCTAGTCACAAACTGTAACAACATCACACTAATTAAAATAGGGCATCCATTATTTGAAACCAGAAAAGGGTAATAAGTTCAATATCATTTTTTTGGCAACTATGGTACTTTCTTGTTTGTTTAATTATGATATGGTTGGTTTAGTTTCCAAATTTCTACATGTCTCAGAAGAAAACAACCTTATGTTTTCTATAAACAATCCTGTATGTTACATTGATGATGACAAACAATGAGAGAACCAGCATCAATGCAACCAATAACACTTCAATCACAAACAATAATGATTACGTCAGGGAATTAAACATGTAGCAATTTGAGTAATAATCAATACCAACAGCCGCAGTTTCTGATCTCTATAGCGATTATCCCTGATTGAGCAACGTAAATCATCAACTTTCTTCCTCTCAACGATGAAATCAAGAACATATTCACTGCCTAGATATTTATGCCGAGCTATCCAGATGCCATCTCCCACAGGCAACCGTCTAACCTACAGAAGAGTCAACATGTACCAATGAAGACAAGAAACCATATATAAATATATTTTCAAAGTATTTGAATGTGCATTTGAGCATGGGATAGAGAGAAAGAGAGAGAGAAGAGAGACAGTATTTCTGCTTGAGTGTCTATGTTTGATGGCCTAGCAAATGTCAGATAGACATGCCACACCACCATCGTTGGATACCAAGACTCCAAGTCTTGAATGGAGAAGTACTGCTCAAATTCTATGGCAAAGGAAATCAAGCAGTGCCAGTGAGGTGAAAGGCAATGACTCCGATAATTACATGAATGATATCACAAATTACTGATGGATAAAATTTATAGAAAAGGGGAGTTAAGATGATACCATCTAATAAACATATTATGCTCACCTCAATTTGAATTTTGAATTGAGAACAAGTGTTTTCAATAATTTTCCTAGACCGTGACCTGAAAACCACAAAGGATATGATAAATATTCTATCAGAGTCATGACAAACACCATTTCTGAACATGCTCTATAGATGAAAAACTAACTATATCCACATAATGCCAGGAAGAACGTGAGCAAAATCGGTGCACAAAATATTGTGGAGGAAGGGGGTGGTGAAGAATGAAACAAAACAAAAACAAAAAGGGTAGAGGTGAAGCTCCATCTTCGACCATCATTGATGAAAATAAGTTATAGGAAGGACCATTGGAGTGACATGTCTTTCTCTGGCTTTGCACTGAAATTATTAACAAACTATACAAATTGCCTTTCAGGTTGAGGGGGGAAACAATACCAAATTATGCTTAACCCCTTATACAACGTAATTAAAGAAGTTGAAAAGTAAATAATGGATCCAGAGGCAGACAACCTGTTATATATTAGTAAAAATTAATAGGCTACTCACCCCCGAGTGGCAAATTGCTCCCGATCATCCAAGATCAAAATCACTCCATATACATCCTCAAATCTCTCTCCAAACATTAAAGGTGGCATTGCTAGAACATTTGTTTTAGCTTCCAAACCATCTGTATCTCCCTTATGCAGAGGATAATCCTAAGACATATAGTCACAAGAAGAGTGACGAAATTATGAAGCATCCACATCATTCTTGACACAAATCCCACTTGACAACAATGCAAAATGATAACGCTTCAAACTGAGCAATAGTATCTTACAAGTGCCCTATTTTTTTGTAGACATGGTTGGCAAATGAAATATCAGAACCCAACAAACAATGAAACACACCACTGTTATACAAAGCAACTGATTCAATGGCTTCACCATGTCATAAAAAAGGTGGAGTTATGATACAAAAATTGCCAGAGAAACTTCAAAAAATGGAGGAAAACAAAAAACTGACTCCATCACTATGATTTTTGGCATTAATGCACATTAGGTTGGCCAGTTGTGAAATGCATTGCACCGATAATCATGTGATGCATATTCAGTTTAGAGTACTTGAGAACCCATGCTAAATGCCCAAATGCTCATAGTATGGATGTTCCAACTAATATGTCATCATCATTGTGCATCAAATAAATCCACACTTACAATTGAGGAACAAGCTCTCAAATTAGAAGAGCGCCATGTAGAATTAACGAAAAGTGAGGGCTCTGGAAGTGCCCCAGTGCAAGCAGAATCCATTGATCTTTTCTTACTTACAAGATCATCTCCTTCACCTGGACATTAAAAAAGTACTTGTTAGGAGATAATAAAAGTGACCAGATGGACTTCATGCATTGGCAACTTAAAAGAAGATTATTACCATCTGTAGACTTATATGAAGCTGATGGAAGACAATCCCTTTGAGTATTCAGAGACATTAAAGGCAGACCATAAACTTGATCTTCTCGAAGACGACATAAAACAGCTGGCCAGAGTGAAGAGATCTCCTTATTCTGGGATGTTTCTAAGACCTCAGTGAATGCACGAACTATTTTTCCCTTGGAGTACCCCATGCTGATAAACTACAGGAAATTTACTTAAATTAGATTATGACAATAACGCATGCTAACAATAAAGGAGGGAAAAAAAAAAGAGAGGATACAAAATAAAACAAAGAAATATATTGTACATAACACATAACAGGTAAATAGGAAAACATTTATAAACAATTTGATTACAATAAAAATGAATAAACTCGAAACCTCAATACTTCTAATTAACTGAAGCGAGCAAAGTGCGTAACTGAGTGGTGGACTTTTTTTTTAGAATTAAAATACACAACAAAGAAAATCAAATACAGGTAAAAAAAAGTAACAGAAATGAAATAGTAGTGTCTTTGATGGTTTTTTTTAACAAAAAATATATAAAATACAAATACACCGAAAAAAAAACTATATTGAACATTAATTTTAGCTAGAAGTATACAAAGATGAGAAAGAAAAAAATTACACTCCAGTAGAGAGAAACGAAAAGACATGCAGCATTGCGGGTTTAGGAGTTTAAGTGACAATGTGGCCTTCAGCATGTTACGGAATCGCACAAGTATGTCAGTTTCCCTAACTAGCGAATAAGTTCCATAAGATACCATGTTTCCAAGCCGTTACCCTGTGATCTCATATCATGTTCATATGCATAGCCCATTCCTAAGAAACTACATGTGGCAGCAGTACGCATATCATTACATCTTGCGTGACAACTTAAGCTTTTAGAATACTTGACTATTAACATTACCATCAAATTAGTTTCAGAGGATCACTAATAACTAATTGCTACCACAGACTGAACGAATATTAATAACTTACAGACGTAAGCTTGCTATACTAGAAAAGCATCAACAGTATACCCGATCAAAAGATTCAGGTGGAATATCAATTGATTTCTTCCGACTACTTGAACCAGCAGATGGCAATTTCAGTTCCTTCAATGGATCAGCATTAGAAAACTCCAAACCTGACTTATTGCTTTGGTCTAAATTCGACAATTCTTCTGCCATAGCCAACTTCTCAGTGGAATCAACCAACCCGGATCTAAAGAGACACTGACGTGCTGCTTCCTTGCCTTCTTCAGTCAGCATGTACCTGCCTTGCAGTAAAATGATGCAAATTTTGCAACTTGAACCAAGAGAATGATGGTTTTAAATGAAACATTTGAAAATTTAAAGCAATGTGACTAAGATTGATCTTGATGCCAGCATAATAAAAAATAATCATTTCTTGTTAGAGGCATCCAACACAAAACTAATTTGCAAACCAAAACTAACTAGCAAACCAAAATGAGTAGAGAGCCCCATAACCATATAAATCAACCTTGAGCGGCCCTAATCTTGCAATATGGGAGACCTTCTCTCACTTGGGTCTCGGACTCAAACGTGGGTAAAGAGACAAATAGAGAAACATGTATACAGGAAAATGCAATTGGATAAGGGACTTGACCCAATAATCACCCAAGGCACAACTCTGATATTAAGTTAGTGGCATCCAACCCAAGACCAATTGGCAATGAGTGGAGGGATATTTCAACCATATTAACTAACTGTGGGTTGCTTTGTTATTTCGATAGGGGATAAAAGCTCTCTTCACAAACATAATCTAATGTATATGGGAAAACGAGTAAAAAAATTGATTAAGGCCTAATATAATGCGCTTTATTTACTACAAGAGTAATGGTGACAAAAATGGTTATACAATAGTTGCGAGAATAGGTGCAGTAGGATTATGATGCCGTTGGTGCGAGCAACAACTGCTACATATTGAATGTGGTGATATTATAACAGGAGAGGCCATGGAAAAAGGTTGTGATTGGTTTTAGCATTCATGGTAATTAGAATTTGGGGTGAACAAAGATGATAGGAGCAATGCGGCACCAATGACAAAGGTTTTTTTGGATAAGTATCAATGACAAAGGTTGCCACAGTGGATTCTTGCTTTGTTATTTCTCACTGTACTCTTTTTTATTCTATATTTGTTTTTGGTTGGAGGGAGAAGAGAAGTGTCATCAACAAATCTATTGTGAATATTCTACATTGTGAACAAAAAAATTCTAGAAACTATGGGAATCTAATGTGTATCATATCAGATTGCGTGTTACACAATCCACTCTTCAAGGACGGATTCAACGTCTTATTAATCGGCAAAACACTATTAGCCAAAAAGTGAAACAATAATTTATCATGCCCATAAATGGTTAATGAAACCTTTTCGCATATAGCAAATTAGGCATGCATCATTATGAATCAATTTGGCTTATAATGAGAATATGAACCACCTATAATCATATTTAACCTAACAAAATTCTCAGCACTTTATAGCTTACTCTGGTGATCTATGCAAGGGAACTCTGAAGAAAACTTATCCCAGACCAAAAACAAATCATATAACCACACAGAAAAGAGGGGGGAAACATGAAAAAAAATCTAACTTTGCGGGGCAGCTAGACTTCACAACCAGTCCTTTAGATATCAACGTCTTCATGCAGCTCCATCCACTGTACCAATCCCTAGGTGAGCTTCCAAATTGTCCAGGTTTCGCTTTACCTTTTTCTGGCCTAAACCATAAGAAGATTGCACCAAAAACATCACTGTCACAAACCACTTAAAATATTCCACAATCAGGGGTCATGAAATAAAAGAAATAGAATACAATAAACAGGAAGATGATGATGTAACATACACAACCGGAGTGCGAGAAAGCCCACTTGCTTCAGCAGAATCAATTAGCTCTTGTTTCAGCATAAATTCATCCCCATTTGAAGTCCCCCTACAATCGAAAGATTTCCCTCTTAAAAAATCACTTCCAATAACTTAAAAAAGAAGCCGGAACGAAAAATGCCATGGAAAGAATCAATTTTGAAATCCAAGCATCTACCTGTAAAGTGTAATCAATAATGCATAGGCCACAGAATTCTTTTGTGGCATGTAGCGTTTGGTTTCCTTAGTTTTCTTCCCTAAATATTAAAGGAAAAAAAAAAAACAATCACCAATGCAAAATATCAAAATAAAGTATGAAAAGTCCCCAAGACAAATAAACAATACCTTTTTTTGTCAACTCTTCATTTTCAGAAGCAACAGAATCAACCTCAAAAAAACCTTGCACGAGCCTCAAAATCCACTTTCCCACACCCCTACCACATGCACAGATCAACCCATTCCAAGAATGAGAGGAGATCAATTCTTGCTAATTCATTTTCAAGATACAAATCACAAATCTCTAAATGAATATAGCAGCGGAGACAACCAATATTAGTTCAGGAAAATATTATCATTAGCGATTTGTTTCGTTGAATTTGACCTCATGTAGATCTGTCAAAGCAGACCCACAATCCCCTCATAAAAAATGCATATTATGTCAACTCTAAAAGTACAAGATACAAGGGTCCATTTGGTGTGGCCATCATGGAATGCATTATTCCCAATTAATATCAATTCACCCTCTATCTCCAACACTTCTTAAAAATGAAGCTAGGTAAAATTTCTACATGTTTTAAGAAGGCAACCTCCACTTGCTTTTGCTTTTATGTTGGAGGTATTTGGTATGGCTATCATGGAAATGGAATGCACTATTTCCAATTGATATCATTCCCCCTTCTACATCTCCCACTTTTCTGACAGATGCAGCTAGATTAAATTTCTACATGTTTTAAAAAGGCAAGCTCCACTTGCTTTAACTTTTAAGTTGGAGATGCCGTTTATGTCACACGGACAAGGAGCAGCCCCAATAAACCCCAATCCTCTTCAACCTTCTCCATATAGATCTTTTGTTCTAGCGTATTCTCTCTTCAATACCACCTTTCTCTCTCATTTTTTCTCTCTACAAGGGAGTGCGTTATATGCATACTTAATTAATGAAATAAAATAATTCTCATACCAAATACCCCTCTATTGTAGCTTTGTAATTTCCAAAACTTAGTAAAGGAAGACTCGGAATAAGAGTGTAGGGTTTGGCGCAACGATAAAGTTATTCCATTGTGACCTGGAGTTCACGGGTTCGAGCATTCAAGTTATTCTATCCATCACATACCGCAAAATTGTTTCTTCAAATAACATATCCATTTTCCTCAATAATGACTGATAAAAAAATATTACCCTCAAAGTCATCGTCTTCTAAATTTATTGACAAAAAGGAATTGGAAAATGGTATGATAGCAGAGGATGACCGGATTATTGAGAGTAAGATACTAGATTTCTTTGCCCAATTATATTCTTCACCGGAGGGTAAGAGGCTTAGATTGGAAGGGTTGGAATGGAGTTCTATTGATGAAAGTAAATCTAGGTGGTTAGAAAGGCTTTTTGAGGAAGGAGAAGCGAGACATGCTATTCTTGAGTGTGACAGAGATAAAACCCCAAGTCCCGAAGGATTCACTTTGGTGATGTATCGAGATTGTTGGGACATCATCAAAGTGGATCTAATGAAAGTTTTTGATGATTTTTTCCAAAAAAGGTGTACTGAATGCTATCACTAATATTATGTTTATTTGTTTGATTCCCAAAAAAGACAAGCCCTTGAACAGGAAGAATTTTAGGCCAATAAATTTGGTGTCTAGTCTTTATAAAATCATTGCAAAAATATAATCTTTGAGATTGAGAGAATCTATTAGCGATATTGATGGAGATCGTATAGGAATTGGATAAATATTTTAAATTAATCATGAGAGTAATATGTATACTTTTAGTATTTATCTTTTAAGTAATTTCTTTTAACTTTTGAGAGTTTATTTGTCATTATTTGTTTATTTTAGGATTTTAATTTCCCTATAAAAAGGGATGCATGTAAGGGTTTTATTTAGAAGACTTTGATTATTATTAATTACTGCTATTGAATCCTGATATTGTTTCTTCCTCAAATTCTCTCTTTCCTCATCTCCTTCTTCTTCTTTTCTCATCCCTTTCTTCTTCTTTTCTCATCTCCTTCTTCTTCTCTTCTCATCCCTAATTCTTCTTTACTACGATCTACATCAATTTGGTATCAGAGTCCAACTTCGATTCGTACAAATCACAAAAAAAAAAAAAAATACTGTTCATCACCACGCTCACTGTTCATCAAGACTATTCACCGAAACACACTGTTCATCATCATAAAAAAAAAAAAAAACAGACCTCTTCATGCAGTCTTGAAAATTGCAACAACATCTCAGTTGTTCCAGAAATTACAGAAATACTCCAGAAAGTTTCAAAAGTTGCAGAACCACTACTAGTAGTTCCAGAAATTGCAAAATCTTCCCTAACAAATCTATAAAATTGCAGAATCATCTCCAAAACATTTCAGAATTTTCACTTAATTATGGTATGCATACTCCCATAGAATTTGAGACTAATATTTTTATTCATTGAAAATTTAGAGAATTTGTATCAAAAACACATTTTCTTCTATTTAAACTTTCTTAAAATTATTAATTGCATTCTTGAATTTGTTCTTATACCATTCTCATCTTTCAAGAGTCACTCATGAGTTCCTCTAATGAACATGTTTCAAGAGTCTCTCGTCGAGGTCATCATCATAAGAAGTCTAGGGATGTTTACATGGAGTCAACCCATATGACTACGCTAATCAAAGAACCTTCTATATTTAGTGGCACTTTAAATTCTTTTGAATTCTTGGATTAGTTAAATAATTTAGAAGAATATTTTGATTGGCAAAACATGTCAGATTCCCATTGCGTTTGTTTTACTAAATTGATGTTAAAGGGTTCCGCCAAGCAGCATTGGCAAACAATCCAAAGAAGTCTAGACTGTTGGGCTTTTTTATGGAGTCTAATTTTTTGTGTTTGATCCGAATGATGACCTGACCCGAAATAATGTTGTGTGGTTTTTAATGAAAAATTTTCTGAGGCTTAGTTCATGGAACGAAGGTTTGGGCCCCTCATGGACAAGCCTTGTGGGAGTCTCGGGGCAACGCCCCCAAGGAAAATTTTTGGCCCACTTTGTAGCCCGGTACAAGACATATAAAACCTGTTGTTTTGGGTGATTAGGGTTTGGTTAACTCTATATGGCCACTCTGTATTCTTTCTTGATAATAGTAAAATCCCTGCAACTTCGTGCACGTAGGCAAATTGCCAAATCACGTAAATACTGTCTTGTGCGTGTGATTATTTTTCTTTGGTGTGTGTTTTCTCTATTGTTGTTTCTCGCAGGTTTGAAAATTTTGTTTGAATTTCCTAACAACTAGTATCAGAGCCTGGTTTAGGGTTGAGTGGGAGCAATAGCAGAGGAAGCAGGAAAGGCGTCTGGAATAGAAAAGTTTGATGGCACAGCCTTGGGATTCTGGAGGATGCAAATCGAGGATTATCTTTATGGGAAGAAGTTGCATCTGCCGCTTCTAGGGGAAAAACCTGCGACTATGAGGATGAAGAGGATTGGACTCTTCTTGACAGATAAGTACTGGGAGTTATCAGGTTAACTCTGTCTAGGTCAATTGCACACAATGTTGTAAAGGAGAAGACTACAGCAGATCTGATGAAGGTTTTGTCTGGTATGTATGAAAAGCCTTCAGCAAACAACAAAGTGCATCTGATGAAGAAACTGTTCAATTTGAAGATGAAAGAGAACGCATCAGTAGCACAACATCTGAACGAGTTTAACACTATCACAAATCAATTGTCGTCTGTAGAAATTAATTTTGATGATGAGATTCGTATACTGATCATTTTAGCTTCCTTGCCAAACAGTTGGGAGGCAATGAGAATGGCAATAAGCAATTCTACAGGAAAGGAAAAACTGAAGTACAATGGCATACGAGATTTAATTTTGGCCGAGGAGATTCACAGAAAAGATGCAGGTGAAACCTCAAGATCTGGTTCTACCCTAAACCTTGAGACAAGAGGCAGAGGTAATGACAGAAATTCAAATTGGGGCAGATCAAAATTCAAAAATTCTAATCGGAACAGAGGTAAATTCAGATCAGACCAACAAGCAAAATACTAGAATTGTGGAAAAACGGGTCACTTTAAGAGGCAATGCAAAAGTCTTAAGAAGAAGAATGAAGATGATTCTGCTAATGCTGTAACGGAAGAGGTACAGGATGCATTACTTCTTGCAGCAGACAGTCCACTTGATGATTGGGTTTTGAACTCAGGAGCTTTGTTTCATACTACTTCACACCAAGAAATCATGCAGAACTATGTTGCAGGTGATTTTGGTAAGGTGTATTTGGCTGATGGTACAGCCTTGGATGTTATGGATATGGGAAACATCCGAATATTATTGTCCAATGGGTCTGTTTGGTTACTGGAGAAGGTTTGACATATTCCTGACCTGAGGAGGAATCTAATTTTTGTTGGACAACTTGATGATGAAGGGCATGCTATACTGTTTGTTGGTGGTACTTGAAAGATCACAAAGGGAGCCAGAGTATTGGCTCGTGGAAAGAAGACTGGTACTCTATATATGACCTCAAGTCTAAGAAACACAATTGCAGTTGCTGAAGCAAGTACTGATACAAGCTTATGGCACCGCAGACTTGGTCACATAAGTGAGAAAGGGATGAAGATGCTGCTGTCAAAGGGGAAACTACCAGAATTAAAGTCTGTTAATTTTGACATATGTGAAAGTTGCATCTTAGGAAAGCAGAAAAAGGTGAGCTTCTTGAAAACTGGTAGGACACCAAAGGCTGAAAAATTGGAGTTAGTACACACGGATTTGTGGGGGCCTTCTCTGGTTGCATCCCTTGGGGGTTCAAGGTATTACATCACTTTCATTGATGACTCAAGTAGAAAGGTATTGGTTTATTTTTTGAAAAATAAATCTGATGTGTTTGATTCTTTTAAGAAGTGGAAGCTATGGTTGAGACAGAAACAAGATTAAAAGTAAAATGTTTGAGGTTAGACAATGGAGGAGAGTACATAGATGGAGGGTTTAGTGAGTATTGTGCTGCACGTGGAATGAGGATGGAGAAAACCATTCCTAGGACACCACAGCAAAATGGTGTGGCTAAGCGCATGAATAGAACTCTCAATGAGCGTGCTAGAAGTATGAGGTTGCATGCTGGACTACCAAAGACTTTTTGGGTGGATGCTGTTACTACTGCAGCTTACCCGATAAACCGAGGACCTTCAGTTCCCATGGAGTTTAGACTTCTTGAAGAGGTATGGAGTGGTAAAGAAGCAAAGTTTTCCCATTTACAAGTTTTTGGTTGTGTTTCATATGTTCATATTGATTTTGATGCTCGTACTAAACTTGAGGCTAGGGAAATCTTAATGATAGAGACACTAGGGATTTGATGTCTTTTCTTTCTTCTTGAGTTGCCTTTTCTGAATCAAGAGTCATATCATATGACAAAAGAAGGTGGGTTTGTCGGTCTTCGGTTGTCTTTTCTAATATATCCTTCTTTGAGTTTTTGGTTAATGATTCTTCTTGTCCTATTTTCACCCCAACGTCAATGATATGAAGGGTCAATGTGTCCATTAAAGTGCAAGTGTTTGCATGGACTTTGGCACATGGTAAGATTAATACCAATGATTTGTTTCAGAAAAGACCTCGTAATTGTCTTTGCCCACAGTGGTGAATGATGGGTAAAGGGCCTTTGGAAAGTATTGATCATTTATTTTTACATTGTCTTATTGCTACGTCCTTGTGAAATAAGTTGTTTGGCTTAGCGGATATGAGTTGAGTAATTTCTAAATTATTTGTATCCATGTTTATTGAACATTTGAAAGGTTTAGGAATGTGTGATAAAGGAGTGACTCTTTGGTATTGTGTTATCTTTGCTACATTTTGGATCATTGGGAACGAAAGAAATGCAAGAATATTTGAAGATCATAGCAAATGGTTGGCAAGATTATGAGATTGGACTATTTTTTAGCGTTTTTTTTGGGCATTGGTAACCAAAAACTTTAAAGGAATACCACTTTTTGCTATTCTAGTGGATTTGAGAGCTTCATGAGAATTATAGGCTTTTATGTCTTTTTCTCTTTTTCCATTATATTTTTTCTAATTCATGGTTGGATTTTTATCCAACTTTTTTGATGTCCCTTACAATTTTTATTAATACAAAGTTTATGTTTCCTATCAAAATGTCAACGTCTTCTAGTGGGTTGAACTATAACTGCTACTGGCCTTCCATCTTCAACATAAGGGCTAAACTGAATAAAATCCTAATAATTTAATCTTGGGAGAAGGCAATATCCATTCTTTTTCTTATTACCCAATGTCTCAAAATCTCTCTTTTAGTAGCATTTAATTGAGTGGAAGCATTTCTACTTTTTCTCAGTTCCCAAAATAAAGAACAAATTGAATTCAGTTTCTTCAACTAACTTTCTCAGCAAACAAACAGGGAAAATTTGTTGGGTCAGACTTACTTGATCTGAGCAAAGTCTCTGAGGCTTCTAATGGGCATTTTTGAACTGCACAAATTGGAATAAGCCTTGGAAAGAGTTATGTCGATGTTCTCCGAAACCCCTTTCGGTGTTTGGGCCATTTCTCGCCACTTGGTCCACAAGTACGCCGCCAGCTCTTCGTTCTCGGGACATTCCACTCGAATTTGCTTCTCCATTTCAATCAATTTAGGGTTTGTTTGATTGACTGACCCGTTTGTTTATCGATTGGATTTTAGGGTTTTAGAGAAGAAGCGAATGGTTGGAGCCTGACTCTGAGTTTAAAGATCAGCATGGCGCCAGGGCTTGTTTTGAATTTTAAACCTAAGAGTTTTTTTTTCCAATTATACCCCTTCATTTTCTTAAAGAGTAATGTTATATGTACTTAAGAAGTAGACTTAAAAATTAAATTTGATAATCTCAATCATTGATTTCATTGTGGGTTTCAGTATTTATTGGGATCAACTACCTATTCAATAATTGAGATTATCTAGTCTAATTTTTAAGTCTAGTTTTTAAGTCTACATAACATTACTTTTTTCTTAAATTATCTTTTTTTAAGTGTAAAATTCTAGGGAAACTGCAAAAATACTGAGTTTATCAATAATTGGACGATTTTCCCCTCACTTTACTCTATAACTATAGTCAGTTAGGGCATCAATGAATTAGATTTTAATCTTTGTTCCAAAAAAAAAAAAAAAATAGATTTTAATCAAATTTTGATCTAAATTTGAATTTGATTGACCGGATATAAAATAATTTTTAGGGTAAAATCCAATTTACCCGTTGTGATTTGGGTGTTTTGTGCTTTACATTCTTACCGTTCAAAAATCAACATATAAACCCTTATAGTTTTAAACCCTTATAGTTTTAAACCAAAATGCTATCGTTAATAATTTTGTGAAAAGTGATAGAAAGTACAACACATGGACCCATTTCACGAGTTGGTGTGTTAGAATTTTTAGGCGAAGTCAAAATTTGACTTAAAAAGACAAATATATCCTTACACACTTTATGAAAACACAAGCATACCTTTTTTTTACTTAAATTTCTTCTTTCTTCACAATATATCTTCTATGAAATCACCACTCTAGACCTCTTATTTCACTCTCTTCCCCTCTTTATAATTGGTAGCTCCACCCCCATTCCCCATTGATTAACAGTTCTTTTCCCTCTTCCACACACATGTGGCTCCACTTTCCTCCATCCTCTACATGAGGTTATATCGTTCTAGTGGATTTTGTTTTTCAGATGGGTTTTCTTTTTAGCATTCTAATTGATCTATGTGGATGAGTCTCATTGATCATAGTTTGGGTGGTTGATTATTTGTTGACTTAAAATTTTCGCAGAAAACTGAGCTCTGGGACTATTATTTTGGAAGCAATTGGAGTTAGAAAATGAGTGAGGGTATTAAGATAATTTACTCACTTTTGTTAACAATGTTAGCTGTGCAACTTAGTCCAAAACCACAAGAGGGTTATGTGCTGATTTTTGAACCATAAAGAGGTGAAGCGCAAAACAACCAAACAACAAGAGGATAAAGTGGATTTCATCTAATTTTAACTGATTATTATAATCATTTATATTATATTTTATGGATTTAGATTTATCAATATCTAATCCAATTAATATTCAATCTAAATTTTATATTAATAAATATAATTATATAGTTATATTATGTAATTTATTTATTATTTGATAAAATTGAGTTGAAATTCATGTGTAGTTTGTTAGATTGAATCTGTAAATATAAAATTTCTTAGATGTTGGGAACAAATTTTCTAAATTAGATTCAAAATTAATACAAAATCGATCCAAATTCCATTTGTTGATAGGCCTACACTCACCACCATTGACTCTGACAATATTCTATTGATTACTCTTAACTTAACAAAAAAAGTTGGGAAAATCCCAATTTGTCCACTGAAAGATATAAATTTTTCACTTTGTCCCCCGAATGATTAATTTTTTCATATTGGGCCCTAAAAGACATTAAAAGGTTGCAATGTAGTCAATTGTCATTTTTTTCGTTTGTCGTCCGTTTGATTTTGTTATCACGTGATTTGCAAGTGATAACAGGAGGTATGTATTGTAAAAATCATTATCTGTGCAAAACCTTGTCTTCGTCTACCCAAGTGATTTGGGTAATCTACTAAGAAAGAGAGAAGGGACCAGATTTGGGGAAGAAGATTTAGGGTTTTACTGTCTGTCTGTCACATGACCTAGGTTGAGAACTTTGAAGATTCAAAAGATGTCGTGGTTATTGAGGGAAGCGACAAATGATTCAAGGCCTTATTGTGATGCGTCATGCTATGGTACATTTAACATGTTATGGTTAACTGTGTTGACATCTATGGTTGTCTGATTTTTGTTTGGTTTATAGGTGAATATACAATTGTTCTGTGGGTTTATAGTTATTCTGTGTTGGGACCACTTGGGACACTTTTTTATAGGGGGTTGTGTGTGTAAGTGTAACATGTAATTGACTGTGTTGATAGTTATGGGTGTCTGATTTTTTTCTGGTTTACGGGTGAATATGCAATTGTTTTGTGGTTATTGTATTTATCTTTGTTCGTTGTGGGATTCGTTGTGGATTTTATAATTACTTTGTGTTGGGACCACTTGGGACAAATTTTTTATGGGGGGTTGTGTGTGTAAGTGTAACATGTAATTGATTGTGTTGACAGTTATGGGTGTCTGATTTTTTTCTGGTTTATGGGTGAATATACAATTATTTTGTGGTTATGGTATTTATATTTGTTCGTTGTGGGTTTTATAATTACTCTGTGTTGGGACCACTTGGGACAATATTTTTATGGGGGGTTGTGTGTGTAAGTGTAACATGTGATAGTTTTGTTTATGTTTTTTTTTGTTTGATTGTTGTAAGTTGACTTATTACTTTATACTTAAGTAATGGTTGTTTTGATTTTTTAACAATGTGGGGTAGATGGAATAATGTGTGCATGGTCTGCCACTTGTTTGTGGGTGTATATATAGATAATATTTGTGGATATTTTACTATCCGATTGCATCATGGTGGTAGATTGGGCATTAAGGGCAAGAAACATTATATTGGCGGGAAGATAAATCACATAAATATGTGTGATGCTGACCATCTTTCTTTGATTGAGTTGGAGAATATGTTAAAGGCTTTAGAAATGGGATACTTTGAGTTGAGTAGGTTCCACCATATAACTACTAATGGATGGAAACTGTTAGAAAATGACAGACAGACTTTGGAAATGATTAACTATGTTGATAGCAACAGAGTCACTGATTTTTAGGTTGAGCACATCAATCCAAATGTGTTTATCCACAGTCAAGTTGATTCAAATGTAGGTGGTTTGGTGGAAAATCAAAAAGGAAAATTAAAACTCTGAAAGTTCTAATGAGAATGGCTCGTACTCAAATGGAAGTCCTCAGAGTATGAATACTTTTATGATAGTGAGTATGACAAGCATGATGATGAATTGTATGATACTTTTGTGGATCTTGATGTTGAATTAGTTGGTGTTAACAAAGGAAAAAGAATGGAGGAAGACAAAGGAGTTGCCAAAGGGAAAAGAATGGAGAAAGGCAAAGGAGTTGCCAAAGGGGTGATAGGGGCACAGTTATGCAGGACGATAATGATTTTTATGGTGTAGAATATGACACAGATGAGTTGGTCAGTCTTAGTGGATCATCATCAAAGGGTGAGGAAGGAGGAAAGTCCAAGGTTAAGTATCCACAGTTCAATGCTAGAACTGACATGGTTGATCCACAATTTAAGCTAGGTATGTTGTTTAAAAATGCAACTAAGTTTAGAGCTGCAGTTAGGCAACATGCAATCAAATGGGGTAAGGAAATAAGGTTCATTAAAAATGATAAATGTAGAATAAGGGCAGTTTGTAGGCCTGGTTATGAGTGGTTGATATTTGCTTCCAGCATGGCAGGTGAAAACAACATGCAAGTTAAAACATATAATGCTTCCCATAGTTGCAATAGAACTCCTCATCATTAAACATGCCACTTCAAACTGGATTACAGATACATATGTTAATAGACTGAGATCAAACCCACATGGCCCATGAAATCTTTCAAGGAAACTATGCAGAAAGAGCATGTTCTAATCTTAGGAAAAAACAAGGTATATAGAGCTAAACATAAAGCAATGGCAATTGTGAGTGGCACAGACAACGAACAGTTTAGTTTATTATGGGATTACTATGAAGAATTGAGAAGAACCAACCCAAATACAACTTGTATAATCAAGTCCAAGGCTTTAGAGAGTGGTGAGATCAAGTTTAAGAAAATAAACATATGTTTTGGGGCATTGAAAAATGGTATGTTGTATGGATGTAGACCCTTAATTGGATTGGATGACTGTCATCTAAAGTGCAATCAGTATGACATTCTATTATCAGTTGTTGGGATTGACCCCAATAATCAGATGTATCCAATAGCTTACAGATTAGTGGAAAAAGAAAAGAAAAGTCTTGGGCTTGGTTTCTGGAACTTCTGAAGGAGGATCTGTGCATTGTTAACATACATTCATGGATTTTCATGTCAGGTAAACAGAAGGTAAGTTTCATTTATAATATGTTTTGTTAAAGCAATATGCATAAATATGTTTTTCATGTTAGCTATATTAATGTATATGATTGTTTCAGGGATTGGTAGATGTTGTTGAGACTATTTTTCCAAATGCTAATCATAGGTTTTGTATCAGACATTTGTATAACAACTTCAAAGTTCAGCACAAAGGGATTAGCATTAAAGGACCTGTTATGGAGGATTTGCCAGGTCAACAAGAGTTGTTGACTTTCAAAAGGTTATGAATGAATTACTTATTGTTGATGAATGTGCATATAGATGGTTGTGTCAAAGACTTACTGTGAACTGGTCTAGGTCCCATTTCAGCACATTCCCCAAATGTGATTTGTTGTTGAATAATATGTGTGAGAGTTTTAATGCTTGTATTGTTGAGACTAGGGAAAATCCTATATTAACAATGCTTGAAAAAATTAGAGTGTGGTTAATGGAGAGAATTCATAGACAAAGGAACTCCATTAAGAAATATAAAGGAACAATCTATTCTAGAATTCAAAAGAGATTGGAAGACATTAAAGTTGAGTCAACAACTTTCATACCTAAATGGAATGGGGATGACAAATTTGAAGTGGTTGGGATGAATGGAGAA